CCGTCCAAGGAGCTTATGGTGGAGACCAAGGGCTGGTCCACACTAATCCCCCAGTTCGAACTAAGATACGCAAATTCAGCTACGTGAATAACGTAGCTGAAGTATCTTAGTTCGAACTACAAGGTACTTATCGCGGGTCCACACGCGGCAGGCAGGCTCCCCCATCGACTCTGCATACTCCTCTCGCGGAGCAGAAGTACCGGTGTCGACGGTGAGCACTTCCGGGATCGATTTATCGCGTCTAGACAAGACGTGATAAATCAATCCCAGAAGTTCGATTGCTTACCGCCGAACCTGGAGGTAAGTATAGATGTACCCTAAGTGGGGAAGCGTAGGGAGCCCAACCTCTGCTGAGCCCAGTTCTAACCCCCCAGAATGCCAAGACTGTGGTCTCCGTCAGGCTGACACCTTTCACCAGCTCTCAGCCCACGCCCACCCGGGGGCAGCTCCTGCCGCAAAAAGCATCACCCTTCTGAGCCCAGCTGTCTTATTCTTTCCACCCACCCCAGCAGCCCCTTGTCCTGGGCTCTGTGTGCAAGCGCCTTATCGCATTTCAGCCTTTCAGCTGGGGAGGGTGAGCTCAGCTTTTGAGCTGGAGAAAGCACTCTGAATTTTCCAGCTCTGCGCCATCACCCGCCTGGTCCCAGCTGATGCGGCGAGTGACTCATGACTCAGCAATGCTGCGCTGAACCTGATGACACCAGTTCTGCGGGCGGCCAGATGTGAATGGCAGGCGCTCTGGAAGCCCAGGCCCCATTTTAAGGCCGTTTTCTAGGTTTTATCACCTCAAGACTCTCAACAGCTGAAATGCATTTCTCAGGCGTTGAACAATTTCTCAAGGCAGTGGGGTCAACTTTAAATCCAAACAGGCTGTGGTAACGCTGCGCAAATCAGGGCTGGCACCGTATTCATCCTCACAGGAGAAGGCAAAGCAAGAGGCAGGGAAATCTCAAGAATAGAATCTGCTTGATTATCGAAGCAGCTGGAATTTAAACGAGCGTCACAGGAGAGGTTTGGGCCCCCTCGAGCTGGAATCTAGGCTGGATTTGGAGTGTCTGCCAGCAACTTTTCAGCCTGTGTACAAACACTAGCCCCAATTCTTCCCTCTAGTCCCAGTGGCTTCAGGAGAGCTGGCTATGGAGCAGAGCGATAGGGAGCCCTGAACTCAATCCCCATTCAAATGACTGCCTCAGCATGGAGGAAGGTCATCGTGGATTTCCACAGCCCACCCATGTCCCACCAAACTTGAAAACGTGTCCTCTGCTCCCGGAAAAGTCAGTAGAGTGACGGTGTCTTTCTATCCCCCAACCACGTTGGTTGTGTCACACTCACCACAATCTGCACCCCCCACTGATAAGCCAGTGAACACACACAGCAATGCGGTAGCCGTTTCCCAGTGTTGAGCTAGTCAAAGGTTTTTCTGACTGGCTGGGGGAGGAAGAGCTTACCCCTGCCTGGGACAAAATGGCAGAGGGTGAGGACAACACCTTGGACAGAACGCCAGGACTATCAAGTGAAGCCAGGACTGTAGGATGCTCTGGAGTAACTCCCATCAGGTGTCACACATGCGTACCCCCAAAGGGCAAGTTATTGGGTCCCTCGTTCATCACATGTAATGCCAGCCTGGTGCTAGCCAGGCCTCCCTCGAAGACTCCATCCTTCCAAGTCTGCCTGGCAAAGCTAGAAAATGCTCCTCTGCTCCTGGCAGAAAACTTGTCTACAGAGGAATATTCAGGAAAAGTGAGGTTTGCCCCCAGCTGCCGGGACACAGCAGCCTCTCCGAGCAGGATACCTGCCAGAGGAGAGCTCCCTTTGGGACATGCTATAGATTCATTCAATCAGTCCCTCTCCGCGCTACGCATAGATGACATGGGCACTGCCCAGGGAGCTACCATGGGAACCCAGATATACTAACTGCATTGCCTAGGAGTTAACTCTCCTCTGCTGTCAGCCCTTCACTCCAGAATCTCTTTCCCTATCACGCTGCCCTTTCCTTTTTGTCCTCTGGTGAACTTCTCCTGCCTTTGCCTCCACCGCTGACCTTCACTTGGCTTATTTGGCTTCTCTTCCAACTTGGCGCATCAGCTCGCTCACAGGGGCAATCCCACCAGGAGGGAGGTTTGGAGGTGGGAGAGAATAGGGTCAGTGGGGCGGGAGTAGGGGGAAAGGGTTAGAGGTGGAGAGCAGGTGAGAGCCCTCAACCCAGTCAGGATTTACCCAGGACGATACGAAAGACTCATCCCTGCTGAATGTGACTGCCAAGTTGTGGTTTACCTTGTGGACCTGAACACTCAGCGCCATTAATGGAGTTTATCCTCCCAACACGCCTGTCAGTTAACGTGACTCCTTATTCCTAGGGGAGGAAGACTGGTCCAGTGGCCAGGCCGATTTCCTGGTCTAGAGGACCTCAGAGCGGGAAGGTCACAGATCACCCATCTTCTCTGTGTAAAAGTCAGAAAGGCCTTGAAGAGGAAGGCGGAGGTTGGCAAATACATACCGGCATTCATGCAGCTGTGCTTGGACAGAAGCGTGACAGAGCACAGATGGGGGGAGGGGTGTGTGTGTGTTTCGTCCAACATCAGTGTGTGTTTATTTTCTGTTTCCCATGTCCACACAATACTAAAACCATGCAGGTAAAAGGGAACTGATTTGAGTGACCAGCTGAGGCTGCTTGGAGCCCAATCTGTTGCTCAGTCTGGGGAGGGGCGCACAGAGCTCAGTGAGTCAGAGGCTTGTGCCTGAGGTTCCGGCAGGGACGTAGTTAAAATTCCACGCTCAATTGGTCACATTTTAGTATTAAAACTCAAGCCCAGCTGTTCTGAGGTTGAAGTTATTTCATAAGAGGAAGGCAGCACACATGGCTGTTGCCAAAACATCTGGTTACAGCCCATGGCTAATTCCTCCATTTGCTGCAGCAAGTCTAGCATCGAACTCTCTGAGGGAGGAAAAACAAAAGGAAATAAAATTAATCCTTTGTAAAGAGCTCGAAGGCCCTGGGATGAAAAGCCCAGGGGGAGTGCAAACATGGACAAAGTCTCTCACTGCTCCTGTAGAGAGACACTGTGTTAGCCCTGTTTTACAAAGGGCAAACTGAGGCAGGGAGAATAAAGGGTCTTGAAAGACCCAGGAATGGAACCCAGGAGTTCTGACCCATGTTCTGTTTGGTGTAGATTTGTCAATTGACAGAGATTTTGTTTTGGAATGGTGGGGTGCAAGAGGGGCTTTATAGTTAGAAAATGTGTGTGAATAACGCAGGTCCCCACCCTAACTGGTCAAATTTGGTCTCAATGGCAGGGGTGAGGCTCACCAGAACAGCAGAGGGACTCTGCCTCCTTTCTGGTGCACGAGAAGAGCACTGATTTAATCTCCTTGTAAAATGGGGCTATAACCATGTCTCTCACTGTGTGAGAGGCCGGGGCAGATGACAGGAGGAGATAGAGCTTTTTTCTGCCGTACCATGGAACCCCGACCCAAGGGGAACTGTTTTCCATCAAAATATTTTTTGGATTAAATGTGTTTAACAAAAAGTTTCCCCACAAAAAAACAACTAGTAATTTGTGACCCCAGCTAGAATTTTTCCTCCTAAAACTGGCACACAACATGTAAGCCAAAGTATAAAATCATGGACTGTTCCCAATGACCTGGGGAACAATCAAGGGTGAAAGCATCCTAAGCCAATGCCTACCAGTCACCTGCACACAGGCTGGGAGAATGAGGGTCATCTGTCTCCGCCCTGGATTTCTCCAGTTGGTCCAAAGTTAGGTTAACTTTTCGCCCCCGCCCCAAGGGAAAATTGCCTTCTGCAGAGTTGGGCAGTGATCCCACAGCATAGGCTCAGCCAGTCAGGGAGACAGAAAAGAAACCATGCTGAAACTCAAAACACACCACAAAGAGCAAAGCTAGAGGATTCACAATGACCCAGCAAGGGGAAGAGTTAGCAAGAAGATACTTGTTTGTGCAGATAGTCAACGAACACACCAAAACTGGGCAACGGACTTTTGGCACGAGGTCCTAATGTGAACTCTGCCCCAGGCTGGGCTTGAGTATCTTTGTGGCTTACCTTGTAGCAGTTCGCCCCGTGTCTCCTGCTGACTAGGAGTAACCCAGCCATCTCCTGACAAAGGTTTTATGTGCAGTACTCAGAGTCACCAAGCAGATGTTGATAGTTCTCCAGCAGCCACCAAACCCTCGTCGAGCTGCATTCCAATGGCAGAGCAAGGGGCCACGCCCAGGCCGGCCGCTGCTAGACCAAGTGGAGCCCAAAGCCGAACAGAAGTGCCGTAGAAATCCGTTAGTTATGCTCCCGTAGTGCCCACGGGCCCAATCAGGCTTATGGCTTGGCTGGGTGCTGTACAGACACACGAGGATACATTCCTTGCCCCAAAATACTAATTTTAACCCGCTTACCACAAGTTCCTTTAAGACTGACTGCTGTTTTCTGTTGGCTCAGGTCAGAGCTGCCTCTCTGCTGACCCCAGCCAACACCAAAGCAGGAGGCGGCAGCTACCGAGTCCTTGGCTGAGCGATTATGTCACCCAGCGGGCCAGCAGCAGAACCCCGGTGTCCTGTGGCCTAGCCACAAAGCCTTCCCCCAGAGGACCCGATGCAGCATCCTCCATTAGGACCTTCTGGAGCCCTGAAGTCTTTGCTCCATGCTCTCCTGGCTGTCTGAGAACCAGGGAATGCTGGGAAGGCCCCATATCAGGCTGAAGTGCTCAGAGCAGCCATACAGATTCTCCCCCTCTCTCCCCCCTCCCAATTTAATTTCTCCCAAAGCCAGGTAAAGGAGGTGGCCATATATACTCAAGAGTACTTGAAATCCAAGGAGCAGCCTTTTCACCAGGTCGCAACTTGTGCAATGCCAATAGTAGCTGTGTCTGTACCCGTCCCCTTCCCTCCTGCCCCACCTCCCTGCTCACAAGGAATTAGAGAGCACACAAGCCGCCCAGAGAGACGCCTCCCACCGGAGGTGGTATAAACTGCAAGGCTGTATCAAAATCTCTTGGTTAAAGTCTTTAATAATTACAAGAATTCCAGATTCATTACAGAAGAGCTTAGAACAATAATATTTCTCCGTACAAAGGCAAAATAAACTTTTCAAGTAATAGCATCCTGGCTCTGGAGTTTGAAATGCCTGTGAGTGGGAGGGAAGGGCTCCTGCTCCTGGGTGTCTGCCACAGCACGAAGGCACCTTTCCCCCGGAGGAACTGCTCCAGGCGGCGAGAGGGTGGGGAATCTGGACTCGGCCTTCAGTGCCCGCAGCTAAGAGGGTGAATTTGCGGGTAATGGGAATTCAATGAAGTGCAAGGTCTGGCACAAGGAGAAGCCAATTAACGATGTGGCTTCGTGTAAAACAACAACAACAACAAAAATGCACTATTCCCTTCCACAGCCCAAGCTAAGCGGCCCAGGTTTATCTCCATGCTAACCACAGCTGGGGTTTCCAATACAAGGCAGGGCTGGGGTTTCTAAGAACTGAAAGTGTCACTGGAAAAAGTATGTTCAAAGACACACAAAACCACTGGCCGAACTGTCCTTGCTGAGCCTCTGCAAGGAACCTCCCCCGGAACAAGGACAAGGACACCTCTTATTCTGCTTTGGAAGGGAGCTTCCTTTGGCCTTCCACTGGACAGAAAGAATCTACAGAGCTCCTCCCTGCAGATCTCCTCAGCCACACCGTGTGGATGTACCAGGTGCATTTAAGGCACTCAAGGAGTTCATTTGAGGAAGCAGAGCACCTCGCCATGGTGGAGGAGAGACAGGGGCTCACTAGCCCCTGCACTCCGTGCTCTAGACCAAGGGCTGCAATCAGAGTGCATGGCAGGAGCAACGAGGAGCGGATTCAGAGACAGGGATGGGAAAAGATTGAAGCAGGCTTGGAGCACGGCTGGAATGTATATGGCAAAGCAGGATCGGAGCTGGCTCAGTATTCCCTGCTCTCTCCACGGAAGGCACACAGCAGGGAACCAACTCAGCTATGACAAAGGCCTCCCCGACCTAGGGATGGGGTGTGGGTTATTCACGCTTCCGACAAACGCCTCTGGCGATTGCTGGGAAAGGCGCTTTGCCCCTCCCCACATGGGCAGAGTCCCAGCTCGGACACTGCCAGTGTCCTAAGCCCTCTGTTTAAAATACAGATCACAGTGGCTCTCCAGCACGTCGCTATGACACACTCACGCACCAATATGGTGATCCGAGTGCTTCACAAGCTGTGCCCAAGTCCAGAAGGGCCCCTCAGATCCAGAACCCAGCACCAGATGCCAACAGAGGGATTTACATGGGGGTTGAGGAGTGAGAAGGCAGAAAAGGCCATTTATACAATGACAACATATTCCCAAAAGGCAGCAAACATTGTCATTAGTATTATTATTATTACTGTTTAATACAACCCCATATAAAACTGAAGCAGCAGCAATTTTTATTGAGGGACCTAAACTGAAATAGGTTTAGAACATAATTTAAAAAATAAAAACAGCAAAAGTAGTAAAATATATGAACTTTTTTTTTTATAGCAACTGATCTCTACCAGCCACTAGTAACTTACTACCAAACTGGTATATCTCTGGTAACAACCCTTTTAAAAAGACATGTAAATATATATTCATATTTATACATATTTGTAGCTATGTACACAAGATTTCTTTTTGTTTGTTTGTTTTTAGCACTGGTATATTTGGCTGCTTCCTCCACTATCAGTACTGAGCCGGGGTATATGCTGCGTCTGGCCAGTTCCAACGTACCATGAGTTTGGTCAGCAAAGCAAATTAGTATTGGAATTCATAAGCCATTGGCCAGTCTTCAAACCATCTCACATAGCAATAACCACCCAGCTAGGGTTCCCGCAGCATCCAAGACAGAGATGCTTCTAACGCATTACGATTTCCCAGCCTGCACTTCTTCACTGCTGGTGGAGCTGCACTCAGTACTGGCATTAGCTTATGGAGCTGTCGAAGTTTGGATCGCGTGGGTTTGCAAGTATAAAAGAACACAAGGATAGCCCAGGTTTCCATGTCCTCCTCCTTGGGAATGTCAGTCTGTCAATCCCTTGCAAAGAAGGGAATGCACATTATTGACTGGTTCCAGGAGAAAGAGCCCGCAGCTGGTTCTCTGTCTGGCCACTGGCCAAAGAGTGGGGTTTAGTTTTAGTCCACTGGAACTATTCAAGCACAGATTTCATAGAAGGGAAATAAAAAACAAACCTTTGAGGTGCAGACAGTTCACAGCTAAGGTGGCTGGTGAAGCTGGCATGAGACATCGGTGGATTTGGTGATGGGAGATGTGTCTTAGAAATCCTTTACGCAATAGCTAAAAGTGATGGATGGCTGCACAGACAGCTTCCTGGCAGCAGCCTGGATAGCAGAGACGCATGCAAACACACACGCACACACACAGAGTTGTCAGTCTGTTGCATGGAAGTCCCAGCCTCAGCGTCGTTTAAGTCCACCGTTGGCGTGCTGATGCGGGTACTTGGGAAGACAAGGTTCGTCTGGAAGGGGATCATGGGAAAAAACTGAGTCCTCCCCTGAGGAACAGGTGGAGCTGCGGGTGTCTGGGAAACTGGGAGAATACTGGTCCAGCGGCATGGAAAGATCCAGGTATTCCTGGAGGGGACAAAATCCCAGGGACACAGCTCAGACCAAGAAACCGGAACCCAGGTTAGAAGAGGCCATGCAGTGAGCACACTACACTAAAGAAACAAGCAGAGCTGCACCAGGAACCTCAGTTCCCCCACACGCGAGGGAACCTTTGCCCTAGTGGGCAGGGGAGGCATGGGCATGGAACTCCCAACGATACCCACAGGCACCAGCCACCACGCTGCATGGAGCCAACAACTCCAGCTCGCTCACTTCTGGACTGAGGGTGCCAAGTGGGGGCAAATGATGCAGAGACTGAATTTGAAAGTCTCTTCATAAAGATGGCTATGGGAGAGTTTTATTCTGGAACAGGCATAGAATCATAGCACTGGAAGGGACTTCGTGAGGTCATTTAGTCCAGTCCCCTGCACTCATGGCGGGACTAAGGATTATCTAGACCATCCCTGACAGGTTTTTGTCTAACTTGCTCTTTATTCCAGTGCTTAACCACCCTGACAGTTAGGAAGTTTTTCCTAATGTCCAACCTAAACCTCCCTTGCTGCAATTTAAGCACATTGCTTCTTGTCTTATCCTCAGGGGTTAAGAAGAACAATTTTTCTCCCTCCTCCTTGTAACAACCTTTTATGTACTTGAAAACTGTTATCATGTCCCCTCTCAGTCTTCTCTTCTACAGACTAAACAAACACCATTTTTTCAATCTTCCCTCATAGGTCATGTTTTCTAGACCTTTAATAATTTTTGTTGCTCTTCTCTGGACATTCTCCGGTTTGTCTACATCTTTCCTGAAATGTGGTGCCCAGAACTGGACACAATACTCCAGCTGAGGCCTAATCAGCACGGAGTAGAGGGGAATAATTACTTCTTGTGTCTTGCTTTCAACATTCCTGCTAATACATCCCAGAATGATGTTTGTTTTTTTTGCAACAGTGTTACACTGTTGACTCATATTTAGCTTGTGGTCCACTATGACCCCCAGATCCCTTTCCGCAGTACTCCTTCCTAGGCAGTCATTTCCCATTTTGTATGTGTGCAATTGATTGTTCCTTCCTAAATGGAGTACTTTGCATTTGTCCTTATTGAATTTTATCCTATTTACTTCAGACCATTTCTCCAGTTTGTCCAGATCATTTTGAATTATAATCCTATCCTCCAAAGAATTTGCAACGCCTTCCAGTTTGGTGTCATCCACAAACTTTAGAAGTGAACTCTCTATGCCATTATCTAAATCACTGAGGAAAAATATTGAACAGAACCGGACCCAGACCTGTTCCGTGCAGGACCCCACTTGATATGCTATTCTAGCATGATTGTGAACCACCGACAACTACTCTCTGGGAATGGTTTTCCAACTAGTTTTGCACCCACCGTATAGTAGCTCCATCTGGGATGCATTTCCCTAGTTTGTTTATGAGAAGGTAATGTGAGACAGTATCAAAAGCTTTACTAAAGTCAAGATATACCATATCTACTGCTTCCCCCCATCCACAAGGCTTGTTACCTTGTCAAAGAAATCTATCAGGTTGGTTTGACACAATTTGTTCTTGACAAAGCCATGCTGACTGTTACTTATCACCTTATTATCTTCTAGGCGTTTGCAAATTGATTGCTTAATTATTTGCTCCATGTCTTACCTGGTTGGAGGTCATGGCCACGATCCTATCCAAGTCTTCTACCAGCTGCTTAAAGGTGGGTCTCTGGGATGGGACTGCGTGCCAGCAATCTCGCATCATCATGTATCTGGAAACAGAGGAGTATGAGGAGACTGAACAAGCGTCCTGGGGACAATTCCCAGCTGGCTAGTCTATCTGCTAGAGCCCAGGACACAGGACCTGGCCAGCAGCAGCTCCAAACCTGAGTGAAACGGAGCAGGGTGCAAGCAGCCCACCACAAAGCTGCAGCCCTCGGGGCTTCTGGCTCTTCACACAGATCAAAATGGAGGGCAGCACATGGGGAGCTACTGTCTCCTTGGGGCTGTGCATTGGTGGGAGTGACTCTGTGGGCCACCCAGGCTGCAGTGAGCCAGCGGGCCGCACCTTGGGCCAGGACGGAATCAGAGATGATGTTATTTTTCAGGATTAGCGTTAATCCTTTTCATGAAAAGAAGATGAATCTCCCACCCCAGGCTGGGTACCCTGGGAAGGACACTGTGGCTTGTTCTAAGAGCAGGATATAACTAAAGCCTAAGTTAGTCCCTGCTTTGGGGTCAAGCTGGGATTCTCTCTTGGAAGATGTTGATTATTGCAAACAGATTTAGCTGAGATTTCTGCAGGGCTGGGAACTGCTGGGAAAATAACTCGGAACATCTGTCATTGCCCACAACGTGCCCCTGCCACTCAGCTCTCGGCGGTGCTGCTTGCACTGCTGAGGAGGCTGACTTTTAATATGGTCTCTGACGATCTCCGCAATAATACCCTTAGCTGTTTTGCTGAGCTCTGGCTTTGCTGCAGCCCCAGGATCCTGGGCTGGAGGAAGGGACATAAAACAAATGGGTGAAAGTCCAGCAAGCAGCAGTATAGAAAGGACACAGATTAGGAAAAGGAGCTGGAACAAGCCGGGCAGGGGGAGGGCCGAGGAGAGAGCTCCGTCCCCAGATCCATCAACAAACATTGAACAGAGGATGGAAAGAGCCGAAGTGGCAGCAGGAGAAATGTAGGTTTTATAGGAGGAAGTAAAGCAGCGATCTGTGAACAGTCTGGGGATGGCACAGGCTGCCAGACGAGGGGAAGGAATGGCCATCGCTAGAGACATTTGAAGCTGAGACGAGAAGTCAGGGAGGGGACTTCTGCCATCAGCACGTTCCTGGAGGCTCATCTTCTAACTCTGAGTTCTGGAAAAGATTCCCCTCCTCTCCTCGTTTTTCCAAGGCAGTTTATTTTAAGGACATGTCCAGCTAACGAACCACCAGCCGACGTGACTAGCAATAAGGATGCTGGGCCGAAAGCTGCTTCTGCGCTGGGGCAGCCAGGGGAACCAAGTTAATCTAAATCAAAACCCTGCAGCAGCCCAGAGCCTCTCCTTCCTCAGAACCACACAGCTCAGAGTTCTGGTCTGAATCAAGAACCCAAGGCTTGCCAGTGGGCTCTAAGGGCTTGTCTACACACGGGGAGTTAGTCCCAATTAACTCCATGTGTAGATGCCCTTATTCTGGAATAATAATATTCCAAATTAGCTTAATCCACTTCCCCAGCTTTAAATTCACACCCTACTTTATTCTGGATTAACTGTCATGTGCTGACAATCCCTAAATCAATTTCACCTGACACTCATCTGTCAGTGAGGGTCCTGGCACAAAGCAGGGGGAGGGGACAGGTAACATCAGTCAGGACTCTGCATCTCCTTCCCCACCCCAGCTTTGCTCCCTGGCAGAGAGCTGCACTTACAGCTCATTGGTGCAGTTGCTGGGTTTGTCCATTCTGTGGCCTTCTTTCAACAACTTGAAGAGCTCCTCAACGGGCACCCCGGGGTACGGCGAGCCACCCAGCGTGAAGATCTCCCATAGCAGCACGCCGAAGGACCATCTGCTCCAGAAACAAAAACACAGTATCAAAAAGGCATAGCTCCCACCACAACACCGCCTTGCAACCCATCCCTCTGCCTGACACACAGCTCTTCTGGGCAGCTGCAGACACAGAGAGGGGAGAACGCCTGTGCCACCAGTGTGCATCACTAGCTCACAAGAACAGCACCAGTGCTACCCACTGAGAACACAACACCCTGGGTCCATCTGGCGCAGCGGAAGTAAGTCACAGTCCTAGTGCACTACGCCTTGCCCCTTGTTAGGACACCAAGGCCACGGTTTGCATAAGTGATTAGTGATTTTGGGTGTCCAACTTGACATATCTTAAAGGGGCCTGTTCTTCAGAAAATGCTGAGCACCCATGCTGTGAAAATCAGGCCCCTGCAAGATGTCTCAGGCTGGGCATCCAAAAATCGCTGGACTCTTGTGAAAAACCTTCGCCCAAGTGCCAAATTCAGCTTCCAGTTCCACTAGCGCAAGCAGCCGGCTTCAACAGCCTCACAGGAGGCAGCTGAGAGCAGAATGTAGCCTCCAAATGTTCGGCATCAGAAGGCATCGGACAGGAGAGAGTTTAAAAGCTTTCGATGACTTAAAAGATCTTCGCAGGAAAGTGAAGAGCTGGGATTAGCAGCTCTAATTCAGTGGCATTTGGAAGACAAACAAGCCGTGCTCATGACAATTATTGTTTCATTCGATTAAGATGAATCACATCTGGGGCTTTTCACCTTTGGGAAAATACTCAACACAAAGGAGGCTTATGGAGAGGCTGCTTGGCAGGCCGATGGCTAAATATGAAGGAGAGACATGCAGACAGGGTCCCACCACGATGTGATACAGCAGGTGTGCTGGGAGAGCAATGTGGATGGGTCAGCGATATGGAGCTTCCTTCGGAGTCCAGCTGCACATCTGTGTTTGCAGTGGAGAACGCTCAGCACATTGGAAAGAGGCGGGTGTTATCCATGAGAGAGGGGAGAGGAAAAACAGTTCCCTGGAACAATGATTTTGGTACAGACCCTCCCACAACCCAGATGGCCCTAATCTAGTCTATCATTTGAATTGTGCCTAGGCACGCATAGCCATGCAAGGACCATGCTGCGACACAGAGACCTCATGGCTGGCAGGAGCAGTGGGGTACTCACACGTCGCTCTGATGGGTGTATATTCGGTCGAACAAGGCCTCCGGTGCCATCCACTTCACTGGTAAGCGACCCTGGAATGCAGGAAAGCCCCCACCTGAATTCAGCCTCCAGAGCAAAAGCAGGCATGATGCAGTTACAGAGGGGAGGCTAACATACCTTCCACAGACACCCAGCCTCGGTACATGGCGCCCTGGGCAATGCCAGCAAGGGCGTCATGACACTGATGCTGGGCAAGTCTCTTTGGCAAAGAGGGACCTTCGTCCTGGGTAAAAGGGACAGACGATGTCTAGTGCTCCATCCCCGAGGGCTTTACAGACGATCACCCACCACCAAAATGCAGCCTCCCCCGGGGGGAAAATGGCAGCGTCTAACATCTTTCTCCTAACTAGTTAGTGCCGCCACTCTTGTGAGAAAGGCCAGGGAGCGTTCCATGATCGCACGTGTTCGGGACCTTGGCTCCAGGAGGAGAAACTCGGGGCCTTCTCTCTCCCAGCCCCGAGACTTCATCCGCCTTGGGAACATAGAACGGCCTTCTCATTGCCATGGCAACTGAGCGGTGTGGGAGGCAGAGGGCGAGGAGAGAGGGCAGACTGGGGGGGAGAACAAAGGGAGCAGAGGGCACGCTGCCCACCAGGCAGACGTCATTCTGCTGTTACAGTACCGAGGAGAATCTCTATGTATATGGCAGCCCATGCTCAGAGAGCTCGGGACTCCGGTACAGAAACCACCCTAGAAAGTCTCCAGCCAAGCTATAAATATTGGCAGCGGCCTCAGGAAAAACCTGCTAGCTCTAAAGCGGAGCTTCAGCACGTTTCCCTTCCCCCACTGCACCACTCACATTAGTCGTCTTCTTGTAGTAATCTATGTGGTGGATGTCCCGGGCCAGGCCGAAGTCTGCGATCTTCATCACGTTGTCTTCCGTCACCAGGACGTTCCTGGCAGCCAGGTCTCTGTGGATACACTGAAGAGAATGGAGATCCAGTTAGGCCGGGGGGTTCCTCTGCTGCATTGGCTGGAGTGGTAGCAAAGACACTGAACTACCCGCCAGCCTTCAAAGGGCCACAGCCATGATCCCAGAGCACAAACCACAGTCAGCAAGGGGGGAGCCAGGTGCCAAGCCCTAATCCCTTCCTGGCCAAGGCAGGGAATCTCTAGAGCCCCTTTCTCTTACTGCTGATGTACGTGCAGCGGGCGGGGCTCCTCCAGCATTGTTAGAGTGATCTTTCAAGCATTATAAACGTGTCCTGATTCCAGAGAGAATGCAGGTAACGGGTTTCATTTCAGTAATTACCTCCTTCGCTCCAGCCTCACTTCCGCTTCAGCTAGGGGTGTGCGGAGATGGAATCAGTGCCATTGTATTGCTTGGCTTTTAATTTTCAACATGCTGGGGAAAGAGGCCAGATCTGCAGCCATGAACAGCTAAGATTGCCGCTTGTCCGCAGAGCCCAGACAGACGGTACAGTGGCATTCACAGGCCCCAGGCAAAGTTCTCAGCTCTGTTCGGGGACAGGCCTCTAGAGGGAGAAGGAGTTCGGTCTTCACGGCTCCCTTGGCCTTTCAGTGGCAAAGGGGCCAGTTAGTGACAGCTGCAGGGATGGGTTTGGGGATCCTGGGATCGAGAGCCCCAAACTCATTTGACTCAGACCAGCCAAGCACCACCTGAATTTTCAGTCACAGTGGCTGTTTTCATCACTTCGGGTGGATTCAGACTAGGAACCCAGGGCCTCCATTGACTGGGTCAGGCCCGTAGAGGTGCCCGATCACCACTCCTCTGCGTTCCCCAGGCCCTGAGAGGGACAGGGGTTCTGCGAGTGCTCCCCCAGGGATGGAGCTCGCAACCATTGCTCACCTTTTTGGATGCCAGGTATTCCATTCCCCTGGCCACCTGGTACGCGCAGGACACCAGGTCCTTAAAGGAGAGCTGCTCCTCAGGGAGGTGGGTCGGGTTGTAGCAGTATTCCATGCCGGGGGGCCGCCGGGCCTGCAGGTACTCCCGCAGGTTGCCTTTGGACGCATACTCCACGATCACATAGAGTGGACCTAAGGCAAACGGGAGGGGACAAAGCCGAGCGTCTCAGGCTTTGGGCTTGGATGCACAGGACACATGGCTGCATGGGCAATTAAGCTGTGTATTGTGCACATGCACAAGCCCTTCAGAACCCCATGACTGCGAAGTGTCTGTCTGAGGGGCACCTGTGGGCTTGGGCAGGGGTTTCAAACAGGGGAACCCTGCAGCAGCTGACCCACAGCAAGGAATCAAGGTCTCTGCTCAGAACAGAGCTCAGGCATCTTGCGTGCGTATGTACACACCCCCATGTCCCCAGCACACTCTCACACACATACACATACCACTTCTTTGGCAAATCAGAAGCTGCTCCTCTGACGTGTGAGGGGAAGAACTGGCCCTGCTCCTGCTCTGTGGTGAGCCAGCCGCACTCCAAGCCAGAAAATCACATAACAAAAACAAACCCAGGCCCACATACAGGCTGGGTGTGACGTGACTCATCCAACCCCAGGGCTCTGTGAACAGCTCCAGCCATGTGAAAAAAAACCACTCTGCTCCACTCTTCCCCACCGCCGACATCAAGTGAGCTGTGTGCGTGCGCATATGCACAACCGTGCCTGCATAAATACCTCACAGAGGCTTTCAGGCACGGCGTACCTTCCGTTCCTTCAGGCCCAAACACAGAGAGACTCTAGAAATGGCCAGACAACTCTAACCCCATTAGTGTTTGCCAGGAGAGGTGCCTCCTTGCCAGCCACACACGCCCCCCCCCTCCCCCGGTCTTCATATGAAGAGTCATACTGGGTCAGACCAAAGGTCCATCTAGCCCAGTAGTCTGTCTTCCAATAGTGGTCAATGCCAGGTGCCCCAGAGGGAATGAACAGAACACGTAATCATCAAGTGATCCATCCCCTGTCACCCATTCCCAGCTTCTGGCAAACAGGCTAGGGACACCATCCCTGCCATTCACCGGGCACTGGCCCATTCAGACAGCTCTGGGATGGCCAACCATTTTCAAAACTCATCTGGATTAAAGTCCCTGTATCTTTCCACCTCTACAACCTCACCCTGGAGGCCCACGCTACCCCCAGCATTCTTGCTGTCCTAGCAGAGAAGCAGTTTGCTGGAGTTTCAGCCATGCACAGATAACTTACCATCCTGAGTGCAGGCTCCCAGGAGGTTGATGATGTTCTTGTGCTTGCCAATCATTTTCATCATCTCCATCTCAGATATCAGGTCAGATAAATCCTTCTCCGTAGCATCAGCTTAAAGCACAAAGAAAGGCACAGGTCATGTTTGTTCAGGCTGGGTTAAGCTAAAGCGAGGCCTAGAACTAAGTCTGCAGCAGCATCCGTTAGGGTAGCTTTAGATTTCCAGACGTGGTTTTCTCTGTCCTCCTCCTTGGCAGAGATGCAGAGCACTCGCACAGTGTACGTACAGGCATATCTCGCGGTAGCCCCATCAGAATGATTTCACCTCCGAAGTGCTGCAGTATTCACAGCTAAACCAGCATTCTCAGGTTCATCTCCCTTTCCAGGACTGGGAGGGTTAGGGTAGTTGGGTATTTTTCCCCGGCCACCTCCCAGGTGGAGCGACAGAGACCGAGCTCAAGTGAGAAAGGCGCTCAGATAGCAGTGACAAGCATGGCATAGATTAACGAGGTAGCTCAGAGAGAGTGAAATCTGTACAAGAGACTTTCCTTACAGGCATTCTCCGGCCTTAAGGGACCACCCACAGCATCCCCATACACGCAGTATAATTCTTCTCTACCTTTATTTGCAGGCCCCTTCCATGAAGCAACCAGTTTTTATTGCCCTTTTTGTCACTCAAAACCAGGGCCGGCTCTAGGCACCAGCTTGGCAAGCAGGTGCTTGGGGCGGCCACTCGGGAGAGGGGCGGTACATCCAGCTATTCGGCGGCAATTCGGCGGACAGTCCCTCACTCCCACTCGGAGCGAAGGACCTCCCGCCGAATTGCCGCCGCAGATCGCGGCCTTTTTTTTTTGGCTGCTTGGGGCGGCAAAAACCTTGGAGCCGGCCCTGTTCAAAACAGAGATTGCTGGAGAAGCTATTACATTGTGCAGGGTGACTCCATCAGAGCAGCCGCTGGGGAGCGCCCAGCTCTCCCTGGGCAGCATGTGCTGCTGCAGGGCTGAACTGCAGAGAGTCTGGATAAGCGAATGCTGGCTCGAGGGGAGAGCAAACTGGGTGTGAAAGGCTATTCCTTGGCTGTACAGGGAAGGTGCTGTGCAGCCTTTGGCCATGGCTACGCTCCGGGCCTCAAGCTATCGCTCTGGGACAGCCGCTGGGAACGCAGAGTCAGAAGCTCGTCTTGAAAAAAACCCAACCAATAAACCTAACGATAAACTTGCTCAGTTGGGTCCCAATCCAACAACTCCCATTGGTTTCAGTGGGAGAGAGACGAGGCCCTTCTGGAACACAGGGCTGGACCAGGCCAGGCCTCCAGCAAACATGCACAGTCCACCTGTCTCCCCGCTGCAAGGTACGTTTCCCAAAGTCAGCAGGACTGATGCTAGCCTGAACTGAGACCGACTCAGAGAGGCAGCTGCAAAGCTGGGAAAAACCCTGCGGTGCCTATAGCCGCTACTTACACTTCAGCATCTTGACTGCCACTTTAGTCACTCGGTTTGGCTTGTCCTTGTCCAAGCCGATGGCTTCAGCGAGAACCACCTGCCCAAAGCAGCCTTCACCCAGAGGCTTACCCAGGATGAGCCTAGATGAAAGGAGAGAAGAAGGTAAAACAGAGGAGGAAGGATGCAGCTCGTGTCTGCAGAGAGAGATACACTCACACAGAACGGGACCCAAGAGGTAACTCTGCAGAAAAAATGCAACTCCTGTCTGCAGGCAGGCAGACACAGAGGGTGTCTTGCCATTTCTGTGGCCACTTGCTTATGACGGCATCGCTCCCCAACTAGCAACATTCAGCATAAAGTCTCCCCTGCCTGTTCCCCTTTGGATCACACTGGTTATTTGAAACAATACGCCCTGGGTACGGGCAGGACATCGAGACATACCCCAAGTGCAGCACAGAGCCAGCTGGTAACATGCTTGGGGAAGAGGGTTGTCTGAGAGACAGCTACTAGCATAATATACAATGCTATGTCAGACTGGCCAGTGTGGCATCCAATCCCGCTGCAAAGAGGAAGTTCCCGCCAGTCTCATGGCACAGAGCTAGGCCTGAGTCTCCAGGACTGTTGGGCAGTTCTGAAGCATCATGCTCTGCTTGGTTCCAAGCTAACGGGACCCTGGTGAATTCCAGGCACTGGGCCTGTTTGGAGCCCCATGCCAAGTTGTTCTGGTAGGGCTCAAAGACGCTGCCTCCCATCCAGGAGCAGACACCTCACAGCCCTGGCCAAACATTCACTTTTTGTTCAAAGTGCCAAAAATCTAGAGATTTAACTGCTCCCAACTGTGGTTTTCCTTCCTCAGACATCATCCCAGGCACTTTCCAAGTGTCAGCTTCCAACGGGGAGCAGTTAGACAGCAACCTCCGGATCCACGCCACACCCCCCAGCAGCCTCCCCCCTCCCGGTGGCAGAGTTGCAGGCGTAAGACAGAGTGCCTTTGGAAAACCGAGGCTGCACTGAGGCAAACGGGAAAGTCCCACCCTGGAGGCAAGTTCCTGATGGGAATGCGTGCTCCCCTGGGAAAGGCAGGGCCAATGTCATGGGTATGCCTGGGACTGGGAGAGGACGTTGTGTGGGTGACACTGCCCCAGTGACTTCAGCACAGACTCCAGCAAGGCCGTAAGCAGGAACACACATAATGCCCTTTGCAGGCTGGAGGAGTCTATCTGTGGGCTAAGGAGCCCAGCACAGCTCAGGACACATTTTTTTTCCATATCAGGATGCGTTCTAATGGAGAGTTATACAATTAGAAAACAGCAACTTCAGGAGAAGGTTGTAATCAATGCAGTGCAGCTAAGGCTGCTGGAGAGAGATCGATTCAGGTTCCAGGAAGCCCTCACCTTCCGTAGATTTGAGTGTGGGGGTTGATCTCTCCGCAGGGCTGGGAATATTCTGAGCACCTGCAGAGGCTGGGGGAGCGAGAGGGGCGGAGGTTTCATGGAGGGAGTTATCACACAGGAAGGCGCAAACCTGGCAGTCATTTCTCTTAGCTATTTGAAACCAATTTCAGACGTGACACAGCAGAACAGGCACACGGAGATGCGCAATGCTCCCTGCTGCTGGTCTGGAAGCAGCAAGGGTAGGAGGGAGATGCACATCAGTCCCTGGGAGCATATGCTCACCCTGAGGGCAACACTCCCAAATGGCTGTTTCAGGGAGGAACACACCAGCCAGGAGTCCTCCTCCCCATTAGCATAATTAAGGGACATGATGTGCTAAGGGCCTGATCCAGCAGGAGCCTTTCCTTTGACTTCAGTAGCATTTGGATCAGGCTGTGGAGGAACTGCGATCAGATGTAGGAGCCAGCTAGATACAGAAAGGCCGGGGTCGCCCAGCTGTGGAGCCCAGTGTGAGAGAGTGCATCACCTGTCCCTGGGAAGCTCCCACCGAGGGTCTTCGGGAAGCTCGTATTCCGAGACGCCTGCCAGCATTGGGGTACCGCTGGAGGAGAGCCGCGAGGGCCTCACAAGCATCACCCCTGAGTTCATGGAGGAGCTGGAGTCTGCTGACACCTGCAATGGGAGAGCCAAGGGACAGTGGGTTACCTTCAGGAAGCACCTGAGGTGGGGACATGCTTGGTTCTGGTAAGGAGAGGAGCTGCCGACCAAAGTGCTTTAGTTACCTGCTGGAGGCGGAGAGAGCCCTCTCTCCCGGGTACTGAATCTGCTGCAGCATGCAGTCGCCTGGCCCTTCTCTAGGCACTTCAAAGGGCTTTACAAACACCAGTTATGCCTCACAGCCCCCCCGGGAGGAGGTTGGAATAGTTATCCCCAAGTTACAGGTGCTGTGACTTGCCTAAGGTGGCAGAGCCAGGGACACAGGGCCGGCTCCAGGCACCAGCCCTCCAAGCATGTGCTTGGGGTGGCACCTGGAGGGGGTCGGTGCTCACCCGGAGAGAGCGGAGCTGCGGCCGGGCTCGCTGCCCTCCCCCGGCGCTCCAGCCGGCCGGGGAGAGTGGGGCTGCGGCCGGGCTCAGCGCCCTCCCCTGCCGCAATCCCCGCCAGGGGGCGGGGGGCAGCGGGAGGCTTTTTTGCCTGGGGCGGCAAAAAAGCCAGAGCCGGCCCTGCAGGGACAGAAGCCAGGAGTCCTGGCTCCCACTTCCCTGCTCTACCCAACTACTCCTTTTGCCGTAGAATGGACATGGACACAGCTGCGGACCCTTTTCCCCTCTTCCCCAGGTACAGCAGAAGGGACAGGAACATCAGCTCTCAGACCGACTGAGTCACCCCTGATCTTGTGCCCTATACTGCACCATCCGATCTGGTCTGATTCCTGGGCTTGGTCGCTCATTCCCTAGTGCTGGAGGAGCAGCACGCTCAGCCCCTGGAGGTAACTGCTCTGCAGCAAACCCCTTCAGCTCTCCCTGCTCTGCAGCAAACCCCTTCAGCTGATCTAGGTGAGGGCTTAGCAGGGAGCTTCAGACTTGATTACAAGCCGTTTTCTTGTGACACGGGACTGAGGAAAAGACCAAGGACACCCTCCAAAAAGCTAACCCAGTATAGAACCCTCCCAGTTTGCATGCCAGAGGAAGAACACGGCGTTCTGCACAGATCTAGCTGCAATCCTGGCCCCATTGGCATTACTCCAACATGGAGTGGGATTAAATTATTTCTAATTAACTTCCTCTAGGCTGTGCTGATATCGTAAAATCTACGGCCCATGGAGCCCTTCCAGCCACTCGGTGTGTAGGCCACGCTCCCCCCGTCAAATATTAAATTGCCACAAACCCTTCCAGATCCCCCCCATGACCCTTACTGACCCGCCGTAAATGCCAAGAGAAGAGGGGAAGATTCACAGAGGTGCCTGCTCAGAGTTGCTCCCACCCCCCGTATACAGAGAAGGGCCCCTCCCGCCCCACTCCCAGATCCTAGGACCTCCTTGATTGTAGCAAGGGCCAAAGGAATAAGCACAGAAGTACAGGAACAAGAGGCATTTTGAAGTGCAGCTGCCCATGCCTTTGTGGCTGGGCCCTCACGGGGGCCTCGGGATGGGCAGCCCCAAGTCACTGTTTCTAACAGGACAGGAATTATTCTTATTTGGTGCAGTGCGAAAGGGCCTGTTAGCTCGAGAGGTGAGGGCTTGTCTGTGCCAGGGGCCCCCAGGTTCAAGCCCCGCAGGTGAGCCAGCTCCAGAGGCAGGTTGCACATGCTCTAGTGAACTGGAACCAGATCTGACGTGGCAGGTCTGGACAGCCACATTTAAACAGCCTGCCGAAAACAACCCTTCTACACCCTTTCCATCCACAGACCTCTATGTGCCAAGCACCATGATTCTCAGATTGCAGGTAAGGAAACTGAAGCAGAGGGCGGCAGGGGACTTGCCCAAGGTCACAGAGCAGGTTAATGACCAAGCTGGAAATAAAAGCCCTGGCTCTTCATCCTGTGCCTTTTCCACTAGCCCATGTTGTGGCAAAGATGTGACACAACGCTAGGGGAGAACAGATATTTTTGGGCTGGGGGAATTTTTTTTTTAAAACCATCATTACAGTCTGCCCACTTGCCCCCACCCCTGTGCCCATCTCATGTCGCCCCTCCCCACACTGGCTTTTCTGACTCATTCTTCTTCCCTCTCTGGCCCAAGCTAAGAAATTCCACACTGCTGCATCGACACACTTTCCCCAGGGACCATAATCAACCAAGCCCCGGAGATCCTGCTCAGGTGCGGCACTGGGAATGGCAGCTCTCTGGATCGCAGCAGTCTGGCTGGACCAGGGGAAAATCTGTCATCCGGCCACACCACCCAGGCTTACCCCTGGGGAAGGGAGAACTGGGCCCAAGCAGAGGCATGGCTGGGAGATTCGGACATGGGTCAAGTGAAGACGTCAAGTGGACATCTGATGGAGAGCTATGGGATATGAAAATGTGTCTCTCACCCACAGAAGCAGAGCCAGTAAAAGATACTACCCCATGCGCCTTGTCTCTCTAGTGAACGGCATGCGTGTGAGTGTATATGAGGGGTGGTTGTCTGTTGACTTAGAGAATCGGGGGGGTTAAAGAGGTTTTGTAGCTTAGAAACATGGCAAGAGATCAGCTTGGCGTTTAACCCAGTCCACCTGCAACTCTCTTACCAAGCCTATCCACACCCCCTACTCTGCGGCTTTGCTTTGCAAGCAATCCAGATTGCACTTCGGTCCCCGCCGCTCAAATAACATGTTCCCCTCCTTTCGTTCCTCCTCCTGACCCCCAGAGAGAGGATCCTCCCCTGGCTGTTTGTGCTGCTGGCCTGTGCTAGCTCAGACAGGACTGGCGGTCAGGGCAGCGTTGCTGGGCAGGCAGCAGGGGCTCTGAGGACAGGCAATACGTGCAGTCAAACCCCCTATCTACTTTCTGTTACCTGTCTGCGCAGCGGGATGCTCTTGGCCAGCTTGTGCACAGCCAGCTGGCTGTTGAAGTCAGTCTTCTTGGTGGTGCTCTTCATCTTGTAGATGATGACGGTCACCACCATGCACGAGATGAGAAAGGCCCCTGTGCAGTAAATGATGATCTCCAGGTACAGCGACGAGGTCATCATGGCTGGCCTGTCTTCAATAGCTGGGTCAGCGTGAACAAGGCATTAGTACTGCAAATCCTTCGCGGGGCGGAGTGTTAGAACGGGGGGAGCGACGCCCACCCGCAGAGATTGTGATGGGCCATTCCTCCCCTCCCAGCCCACAGAGGCTCCAAGCACCAGGCAAACAGCTGAGTCCAAGCCAGGCAAACCTCCTGGCTCCAGCTATCTCGGGGTCTGAACCCTGTCTAGGACACACAGCCCAACGTACAGCAGGGACCAGCCGAGGCCAGCCACCTCCTCTCTGCCCCAGCATTCCTGTGCACACGAGTGACCGTGTGGTGTTCTCGAGCTGCCTCACCACGCTGGTCCGCAGCCAACCAGAACTTGGAGAGACACGAGGAACGAGCACAAAGCTTTATGTAAAAGGGCATGTATCCCCCCCCCAGCCCCACCCCACCATAAGCAGATGTTGGCTGGTGGGAAAGAAGCAGCTGAGGGAACTTGAGACCAAATGGCCAGGCAATGCAGCCCAGAGAGGTCACAAATGCACGTGTCTGAGAGTGGAGTAGCGAGAGGAGGCACGGCTGTAACCTCCTCTAAGGAGCCGGGATTAAATGAGAATTACAAACATACATAGAAGTGGGTAGATATATTGGGCTGAGAACTTCTGGGACTTCCCATGGGTCCCTGGCTAGTGGCAGGAGACTGGGTCAGGGGCAGTCAGGGCAGGAGTCAGAATCAGAGTCTGAATGCCAGAGCCATGGGTCGAGGCAGGTCAGGAATCAGAACCAGATGATCTGGAATCAGGGAAGGCAGGAGCAGGGCTACGAGTGAGGCTAGGACAGGCCTGGAACAAGGCCAGGTGCAGGGCACAATATAGGCTGGAGCAGGGCTTGGAGCATGGCAAGCACAGAAAGGCAGAGACTCCACAGGCATCTGCATTGAGCAGCCTGCTGCTGAGCTTAGAAAGAGGCCTGCTAGCTTCCTCGGCCCTGTGGCCGGCCCCTGCCCCGTGTGGCCCAGCTGTGCTCGTTAGGCCATCACAAGACTGAGCAAGCGCAGCTGCAGAGCCTCCCCCCGGTAGCTAGAGGGGCAAGAGGCTGTGCTGGGCATCCAGGGATCCTTCTGGGATGGTATTGACTTCATTTTAACCCATGCAGGCGTTGCAAAGCAGCATGTACAGAGGGGCCTGGCCCAGGCCTGGCTTGGGGATGCCCCCTTTCCGTTCATGGTGGGTAAGAGCAGGAGGGGATTCGGGGACATGCACCTTTGAGGATTTTCCTACCCAGCCTGAGCTGGGACTGTAGATTTCTAGGGGAAGTTACCAGGAACAACGCTGGGACAGGCCAAAATAAAACGCTGTCCTTGTGAGACTGCAAACAGTTTGAACAGGAGTCACAAGCATTAAAAAAAAATTACTATGGGGGCTTGTTTTTTTTGTTTTGTTTTGTTTTTTAAATGGTCCCTAGCAGCCCCTTAAATAGGGTTACCATACGTCCGGATTTTCCCGGACATGTCCGGCTTTTTGGGCCTCAAATCCCCGTCCGGGGAGAAATCCCAAAAAGCCGGACATGTCTGGGAAAATAGGGAGGAAGGGCCTGGTGGTGCTTGGCCGG